ATTGTTGATCTGTTTGTTTTGTTATTTATAGTTTGAAATAGATGATCCAACTCTGGTTTGACAAGATGATAGTCTGTTGAAATTCCAGCTCAATTTTCCTTGCTTTCTTGAAATGTGCATCTGCAGTGTGTGATTGGTAAATTGTTGCCACTTTATATTTTTAATTTTGCGCATAGGTTTGTTTTTAATTTTGTTGACTTTTGTCAGTTGGGCACTGTTTGTGACAAAAAGAGCACCATGATACACCAGCATGCTGTACTGCTTGGCATTCATGCCGGAAGCTCCAATATGAACATTTCAGTGTTTGGGTGTCAGTCTGAGGACAGTGTAGAGGATTTGGAAAGAGTTGTTATATCCAGTCAACATCATGGTGTTTGAAGTGATCACTAATGATGGTCAAGTTACGCCTCTATTCATCTTCCCACAGGGCCTCAGACAACACAGAGGCCTACATCAAGTGCCTTGAGGAAGTAGTGCTGCTCTGGGTTATATCTTGAAATATCTTATATCTTGAAACCGGACTCTGCACCATGCCACACAAGTAGGAGAATCCAGTCATGGTTATCAGACAATTTCTATGACCACATCATTCCTTACATCTGGCTACCTAACTCCCCAAATTGCAACCCCCTTGATGTGCACAGTTGAGCAAACGACCAACAAAACTCCTTGTAACTTAAGGCAAGCACTCACCAACTTAAAGAGACTGTCCAAAAGAGATGTAGGAGATTCTGGAAGCCGTGGTTGAAGTCAATGGTGATTTTATTGAATAAATTTAGTCTTTAGTATTTCAAGATATTTTTGTGTAATTTTGGTAAATATATCTGTTAAAATGAGATATCATTGTTATTTTCATTTTTTTTTAAATTTAGACAGCAACTTATCCATCACACCCTGTATGTTTACTTTGATTGCTATGTAGTTAGATCAACTTTACCCATGCTAACAAACATGACATGCATATATAAAAAGGACTTCTGCCAGAATTTCTAGAGTGAGATATTATCATTATTTACACTATTTATATTCAGATTATTGTTCTCATTTTTGTTATTTCAATGTTTTGGCCATTGTGCCTCCCAGCATTCCCCAGGTGTATATTGATCTGAGTAACCTACAGAGAATTATGAACTGAACCCTGTATTTGGGGTAGACTGTTCTTGTTTCACAACTCAAGTCTGGTTCTTGTTTTATTTAGTACTGCTCAGTTATTGCTCATTCATTTCCACTGAGTGCATGTACACACTTGCCCCATAATTACTCTCACTAAATTCACAAACCAATGCTTTTACCCACTAGGCTACTGTCCTGTAATACAATTTGTTTTACTAAACTTTAGACTTAACTTGGCTGCTGATTAGGATGTAATTGCTGCTGCTGGCTGTCATGTTTTGACTGCTGGTACCACCTATGTGTTGATTGCTGCTGCAGACTTGCTGTCATTTTTTCTTCTTCATTAGTAGCTCCCATATTGTATTTATTTCTATGCTAGGCCTACTAATGAGATCCTCATAGCCTAGCAAGATTAACTAAAGAGTTCAGTTTGGAATTCCCTGTAGGTTAGCCAGATTGATATACACCTGAGGAAGACACAATGGCTGAAATATTGTAATAACAACAAAGATGAGGACAACAATCCAAATATAAATAGTGCAAATAATGAATATGACTTTTATTAAAAAAAAAAAAAAATATCATTAGCTTTTAATTTGTGACACTAATTTCTAGCACTCAACACTTTGATAGTAGGAATTAGCCACAGGTGTTATAGGCAAATATACTCTGAAAGATGTTACTCCCAAGGTCTACAGCACACATACAAATGACCATCACAAACTCTGCTCTCATCTCTGGACACTACAGTATCATTTGATCTCTCAGGATTTCTTGTATGCCTCACTATATAACACTCAAATACAGATGGTGCTCTGGTATGAGTGTTACTAGATCATAAGATGGCTTAAGACTAAATATTTAATCAAAATATCTACTTACCCACGTTGTACATGTATCAAATTTCAGGGTATTGCAATTTTATTTTCCATCAGTGTATATCTGATTTACTATATGTCAAGCATATTTTTTTCATGTATTTTGTCTGTAATATCTAACTTTTCATGTTACTAGTGCAAGGAAGATAATTTAATGTGGCTGTGACTTTGACATTAGTGGCTTGTTTGAATATGTTGATCAAGCAAGTAGGCAAAAAGACCACAATACAACAAAAATCATTTTAGGGAAAAATTGTATTTAAAGATTAACATGTTAAGTTCTTTTTATAATATAAAGGAATTAACAAAACATACCATAATTTTGGATGACTTTGTAAATTTCTGTGTGTGTTTTTTCTTTTCTTTTTTTTTTTTCACATATTTTTATATATGGAAAAAATGTTTGTTAGAATTTAAGATTGTTAATTTAATACTGTTCTGTGAGTGTTTTAACTACTTTCCTATTCTGAATTGGTAATCTAATTTGAATAACAGACAATATGAAATTTATGCAATATGATGATAATGAAATTATTTTGAGACTGCTGAATGTGATTTTATGTTGCATTTTCTTGTGTTATTTCTCACTTGTCCCTCTTTCCTTACCCTCAGTGCCACCAGCAAGAATTAATTCTTGGAAATGGATCAGTAAGATGAAGTGTAAGTAAATAGGCCAGAATCAACAACTGTGATGCTTAATTTCTTCCTCTTTTGATAGCAATTCTTAAAACCATTTTTCTTTAATTCTGTGATTATCATTTGAAAGTCCTGGAATGGGAAATCAAGATTTCAGGCTTTTTCTTGACACTTTTCTGCTGTATTGCATGAAACTTTTGAATTTTTCTTTTTATCTCTTATTTACTACAACTGCTTCTGACTTTGCAGATTTTCTAAAAACATTTTGAGATTAATTTTTAAAAAAATTGTTTGCCTACTGATGCATGAGATTTGCAAGTATAAATTTTTGAATTAAAACCTTTTCTGAATTTTTTTGATTAAAACCTTTTTTAAATTAAATTTTTCTTTTTTTTTTACGTATTCTTTTGAATTAAAATCTTTTTTCTAACTTGTATGTTGGACCATTCTTTTTTTTTTTTTTTTTTTTTTTTTTTAAATTGTCTATTGCATATTCTGCCAAGAAATAATTTTGTATGTACAAATTGTTAATTTTTCTATTTCTATGCATATAGAAATGTCATTTTATTGGATACAGTAACAAAACAGTTTTTATTATAGCCTCTAGTTATTAATATGGTCATAAGAGATATGGACCTCTTTTTTCTCATGTTTGATTTCTTTAAATTCTAAAGTCAATTCCCAAAATTAAATTTAAAAAAAAAAATGTTAAATCTCTTTACATGGAATGTTTTTTGTTATATATGAATATAGGTGAGGGATAAAGAAAAAATATGTCACTGTCATGCTAGACAATTTTTCTCACCAGAATCTGTCTTATATATTTACAAGTTTATCATTTGGTCATGCTTTGAATATTGCTGTCACATATGATCTGGTGCTTCTGCTATATATTTAGAGATTCTTGATAAAATCCAAATAAGAATCAACAATATTATTGGGACTGACCTGGCATCTCAGCTTCAGTCAATATACCACTGCTGTAATGTAGCTTCCTTGTACATTTTCTATAAATACTTTCATAGTAATTGTTCCGATGAACTCTGTTATGGTAACTTGACTTTATGAATTTAAGCACAGTATTAGATTGGTAACAAGGTCTTATTTTACAGTTGAAATGGCAAAATGTAACCATAACTTCTATGCTAAGTTCCTTTTATTTAATGGTAAGTTTAGTTAAGGATTTGTTTGAGTGACAGAAAATCTAAGGCTTCGACCCAAGTGCTGAGTCGTTGAAACTTTTCCTTTTATCATGTGTAAGAGAAACCAGTTTACAAATAAAAGGTCATAGCAGCTTCTGTGTGGCATTATATTCATATCTTTCTTGTTTGCCATATTCACAATGTTTCGGCTGTTGTACACTCCGGCCTTCTTCAGGTGATAAGAATTCCAAACTGAACCCTTTATTTACTAAGATTGTTCTAGTTCCACATGCCATGCTTCTTTTGGTTGTCTCAGTTATTTCCCTTTAACTCAATTCTCCTAGTTTTGGTTCACTGCTGTGTAGCCTGCTATTGAACTCATAATTCTTTGGGTCTAGTCACTGGATCTAACCAATACCTTCATCCACTGAGGATATCTATGTATGAATTTCTGAGACTTATAAACCTTAGGTCTTAGCCATCGTTTTTTACCAGTGCTCATATTGTAATTTTTCTATCATTATTGCAGATTTTTTTTACCAGAGCATATATTGCAATTTTTTGTTGTTATTCATTGCTTTTCTTTAGCACTCCTTATTACGGGTTCCCATATTGTATTCATTTCTATGCTTGGTCAGCTCAAAAGATTTTTGTTGCTGAGACATTAGGTTTAGAAGTCCTAGAAATTCATACACAGATATCCTCAAGGCTTAGTGGATAAAGGCATTGGTTAGATCCAGTGACTAGACTCAAAGGGTTGTGAGTTCAATTCCAGGCTACAGCAGTGGTGAACCAAAACTTGGAGAGTTGAGTTAAAAGGAAATAATTGAGACATCCAGAAGAGGCATGGCACATGGAATTAGGACAGTTTATCCTGGTGGACGAAATAAAGGATTCAGTTTGAAATTTCAGTCACCTGAAGAAGGCCAGAGAGTATAACAGCTGAAATTTTGGGAATATGGCAATGAAGATAATAATGTCAATAATGTAAGTAATCATAATACCTCATCTCAGGGATATAGACAGATATAGTCTGCCTTAAATTTTTATTTTTTAGATTTTATGCTATTGTAAGTTTTGACTAAAACTGTTAAAATGTGACAATTTTTTTTTTTTATGTAAAGATATCAGGCAAGCCAATTTGAAAGAAAAAAAAAACATTTATTTTCTATAATTATATGTAGGTCATTAATCAGTGTTGAAATACTTTACCTAATTTATTTTTAATAATGCAATTAAAAATTAGTTTACTGCTTAAAATTAATTTAGATTATTTGAACTATATTTAGTTCATCCATATAATTAAAAACAAAAAGAAAAACTGAATATTTTTATATATTTGTGTGTACATATGCATGCACACTAATAATATACATTTGTTCTTCCCCATTTGGTAGAACTCATGAGCATAACAATCATCAAGCACAAAGCTGACCATTCTAAAATTTTAATAACATTTATAACCTACTATTAAGTAGTGGAAAAGTCAATTTACTTTCACAAGAACACTTTCATTTTGTTGTGTGTGTGTAATATATATATATATATATATATATATATATATTAAATACAAGAAACAAATAGATTATAAAAGCAAAAAATATATACATTCTGTTACAAATATATATTACACAATAACTGTAAACATATTGATTTTTATGTCTATATGTGATAGTTAATTTACTTCTTTAAACTAGTAAATTTGTGTTATCTATATTTCTTTTTAGAATGGTGTATTTTTTCTAAAAGGCAAAGATTACATCTTTCTCTCTTACCATTGTAAGATTTAGTTCTTGTCACCATTTCACATTTAATATTTCATTGGATTTTACAATCATTTTTTTTTTCCAGAAATATTTTGAGAGAGAGCTCTATTATTTTTGTATTTTTTGTTACTCATACTTTTAGCTTTATTTTATATCAAAAACTATTTCATTACCACCAGCACTTACTGTGTTATATATATATATATATATATATATATATATATATATATATATAGTCAAATGTTTTCTTCTTTTAATTTTTAGGTATAAAAAAATTGAGTCGACTTGTTTTGCTCTTGTTTTGTTGTTTTAAATTCTGTGAGTTAATATAAACTTTGAAGTATGTTTTTCTTCCAATACCCGGATCAAATCACATTCAAATGTTATCTTCCTTTCAAATTTATTTATTTATTTTTTATTGCAATCCAGATATTTAATACCATCCTGGTGCAAAGAGCTTAAAGAAATCTTCACAAATACTCATTTCTATGCATTGTTCAATTGACAAGACACTTTTTTTTTTTCTTTTTTTTTTATTATAAACTAGCTGACTTTTGCAGTGCTGCTGCTGCTTATTACAATTTTTGTATTGGATTTGAAATCTGTTGCATTCTTTCTGCTTTGCTGATGCAAGCAAATTGGTTTTGCCTTATTTGTCAGCAAAGCTGAGATTAATTGATTTTGTTAGTGTAAAAATCAGCAAGGTAACCCAAAAATGGTGTCACAAATCATGGTAGCATATTGTAGGTAGGTTTGAATATGATATTGAATTTTTAGGATCTGTAGATTTTTTTTTAATTTTTTCTAATTTGTCATAGAATGAGTAAACAGTGAGGAAGTCTTAAAGAAAATGGTAACAAAAAAAGTGCACTTATACTCAGAATCAGGTAGAGACAGTTGAAATTTCTTGGGCACATAAAGATTCCCTGTAGGTTACCCAGATTGATACACACCTGAGAAAGACTGGAGGGTACAACAACCAAAACATTGGGATATAAACAGTGTAAATAAAATCCAACTTAATATTCCAAAGCAAATTTAAACAAATATTTCAGCAACAGTATTTTATGTACTAAAGTTCACCTGATACAAGACTCAAGAGCCACTTAAGGAACAGAGTAACTGTTAAAATGGTTTGTGATGTGAATGGAATAAGTGGTAAGAAGTGAAAATTATGAGGATAAGAAGTATAGATAACAAGTGATCCTTTACTCAAAGAGGTTGCAATGACAAAGAAAGCATTCATATGGGAATGTTCCATAATCAAGTCTACAGTCGCTTTCTCACAGACATGCTGTGGCTTCCCTCTGTCTCTTCAAGTATTTTCACAGCAACTGTTCCGATGAGCTGCTTTCACTGGTTCTCAGACTGCATGAATTTAAGCGAGCTACCAGGCTGGCATCTTGGTCCCACCCTTTTACTGTCAAAATGGTTAAATGTAACCATCTCTTCTACTCGAACAGCTTCTCTCACACTTCCCGACTGTGGAACTTGCTTCTCCTTGCTTGCTTCCCCGATGACTATAATCTTCAAATATTCAAGTGTAATGTAAATTGACATCTGACATCCTGAGTTTCTTCTCCCCGGCCTTTTCTGTATCCTTTCCTCAAATACTCCTCTTTACTCTTATTCTCAATCCTCTGTAACCCCTTGTTTGCTTGGGGTGAATTGCTTTTTTTAAAAAAAAAAAAAAAAAATTAGCAGTCTTTGGGTGGGAGAAGCTGTCTGAAATTTTCTCCTTATATTTAGAATACAGAGGAAATCAGGGTGATTTGACTATATGGAAGTAGCATAGAATGTTCTACAGGGTGCCCAGTAAAAAAAAAAAAAAATGGCAAGTTTATTCTTCGGAAAAATACACCAGCCCTAATTGGTCCATCTCGGTGGTCCTTGAAAAACTCTGATCTGAATGTTATGGATTACTGTATCTGGAGTATACTCCTAACTCACTTGCAAAACCATCATTGTGATATTGTCAATATTGATTCATTGAAGTGGAACTTAACTGAAGCTTGGAATGAAATTCTTCTTGACACTATCTGCAAAGCTACTGCCTCCTGATTACCATGCTTATAACTTTGTGTTGAACATTCAGGCAAACATCTACAAGTTTGTG